TCATTTTATATAAAAAAATAAGACTAGACTCAACAAAAAGATATATATATATATATATATACACACACACACACACACACACACACTACAAAACTGCTTAAGCACAAAGGTTTTCACTGGACAACTCTTGGCCTGGGCCACACACATTTTCAGGATCCTCTGCTTCTCAAGCTTAATGTAGGTCTATCATTTTATATAAAAAAATAAGACTAGACTCAACCTCACCAAACTAGTATTCGGGTGGTGTAGAAAATCAACAAATGAGACACCAGGACATCTAAAGCCAGTGGCTGTCAAAACTGAGCTCCCTCCCAGTCACCTAGAGGGTTTGAAAGACGGCTTGCTAGTCTCCACCAAGGAATTTCCAATTCAAGAGGACCCGGTGGGGTCCAGATTCTGCGTTTGTAAACAGGTACCCAAGATCCGCACTCTGAGAACCACTGGCTGTGACAATATAAGAACTCAGCACCATCCTTGTCACTGTCCCTGGCGCAGCATGCAGCCAGCACTCTGGAGCAGTGTCACTGCTCAGCATCTGCCAAGAAGCCCTGGTCTAGCGAGCGAGTACTCCTCTGCCAGCCCGCAACACACTTTGCAACTAAACAGTGTACTTGAATGTTTTGTTTAATGCTGAAAAACTCACCCTAAGGGACAGAGGATGTAAAAAGAAAGGAAAAGGCACATAATCAAGTCGTCCTTGGAAATGAGGAGGGTTTTGTTTTTTTTTCCTTTGAATAACTTCACTTTAATGTACTTCAAGCTCAAATATTCTGGGAGGTAAACAGGCTCTTGTACCTATGGGGGCACAGGGGCAGGATGAGTTTAGGGAGAATGGGGTCTATGGCCATCCAGGGACTCTAAAGCAGGGTCTGGGCATGAGAACCCTGAGCAGCTGGAAGACAAGCGACTTCCTCAAGTTTAAAAGGAAGGTACCGTGTATGTCCTTGAAGAAGGCCCCAGAAACGAGCTTTTCGGTTGGGCTGGGAAGGAGCCATTTTTGAGTCAGATGCAAGAGGGCGAGCAGGAAGCAGCACAGTAGCCCCAAGACACAGCCGGGAACCGCCACACTTGCCAGGACCCGTGTGGGCTGAAACTATGGCTCTGCCCAGCCAACGGGAGCAGGCCTAGCTGGGCTAGCATGGTCATTGTTTTCTGTGAGAAGAGGACTTGTAACTGAGAAGAATCCTGAGGAAGCTAATGCCAGAACTCAGAACCCTGAGCACTTGGCCTGGAACTCTTTAAAATGGGATCTTCCAAGTCAAATGCACTACAAGTAGTCACAACAGCAAGGGGCACCTCCGGAAGCCAGGCAGTTCCCACTAGTCCTGTGACCCTCCCACTCCAGGGTTCCCATCCTTGGGATAAGACAAGGATGCACCCAGGGGATATCCCCAAGTGGGCAGCAGGCTGGGCTCAGACTACAAAGAGGCAGAATTTGGGATTTGGGAGCTGCAAACTCACACTTGGCCACTGCTGACAGCTAAGTGGAAGCTTACGTGATCAACTGTGTAAACAAGGCTTCTTCCTCAAGTGTGTAAGGAAACCTCCTGGTGCTCTCTGGCCTCATCTTCTTCATCTGTTACACAGGGGCAGGTCTGCGTCCCATGGGCCCCTCTATAAAGTGCCTCGTGCCCCGGGCCATGTGGGGTGTCGTGGGGGGGGCATCAGTGGGCTCAGAAAAGGGGCGCCTATAGCAGCCCTGCCTGAGAAGAGCTTGTGTCACCAGGGAAAGCTGATGGGTGGCTGGCGGCCCAGCAGGAAAATGTCACTCCCTGCACCCACAGCTTTGCACCCCAAGGGAAGGTGGCTCAGGAAAGACAAGGAAATCATCCAATCTCTTAACAGTCTCCAAACGGAACACGCAAAGGCAAATCATTATCTTCAAGGGTTACTTTTAGGACCAAGTTAAAATAGAAACATATTTGTCTCCCCCATGATCCAATATAAGATTGTTACTATTGCTTCTTTCAGAGGACCATGAAAAGATTTTTACATCTTAAAAAAAGGAACTCAATTTGTTTAAAAAGAGCAACAGGGGAAAAGGCGGTTCCTCTTCCCTCCCCCCATGCCATTTGGCTCACAAGCTACTTGAGCATCGCTCCAGCCTTAGAAGTGTCTGGGGACGCTCCAGGACACCCTTGTTCAGGAGGCATCCCTGGATATCCACCCGCTTTCTGTAAGGAAGTTTAAAATCCTTTTCTTTAGGACTTTGTCCAGATAACTGGGAAGGCGACTTTTGGAGGGGATTCCCTGCCGCTTCTGGAGGTGGTCTTTGATTATAATGGTCTTCACCGTCACATAGCGCGCTGGACTCAAGTTCAAAGAGCTGCAGAGCACCTTCTCACGGTCTGACAAGAGCTCAAACCCAGGAAGGTTCTCGATGGCTGCAAACTCGCCATCTCTGCCCTCCTCTTTGCCCCTTTTGGAGCCAGCCATGTTCTTGTTCTCTTTCCTTCGCTCCCGCTTGTGCCTGGCGGCTTCATACTCAGCAGACTCTTCCATCTTGGTGATTCCGTTTCGCCTGTACCGCTGCAGCTCTCTGATCTTGGCTCGCAGCATCTTCTCCTTGTGCATATTTTCAAATAAGTCGTCAAACTCCTTACATGACATGAACTGGTACAGGGGCCGCAGCTTCAGCCGCAGTTCCTTCTCCTCCTTGGTGATCTTCCGCTTCAGCGCCTTCTCCTTCTCCCTCTTGTCCTTCCCCAGGAAGGCAGGCACCAGGTTGTAGTCGCGGGCGATGTTCTTCCGGCGTTGCCGCTCCTTGAGCTTCCGCACATACATGTCCACGTGGGCGCGCTTGAGCTCGATCTCCACGTCGTCGTCGTCATAGTTCACGGACAGCCCGCTGATGAGTGTCTCGGCGTCCTGGTCATACTCGATCTCATAGTCGTCCCGCAGTGGCATGTAGCCTAGCTGCTGCTGCTCGGCCACTGAGATGTCCAACGGGGGCAACGGGGTGGTGAGGCTGGGCGAGAGGGGGCCTCCGCTGGGGCAGGTGTGATCTGTCACCCGGTTGGGGATGCTGTCGGGGATGCAGGCCTTCCCCAGGTTCCCGTGGATGTACATGCTCACATAGTGCTCCATCACTTCCTGGGGAGTCCGGGAAGCACCCACATGAGCAGCCATGTCTTCCTACGACAACAAAGGCCAGAGGTTACTGCAAAGCCAGCCTGTCACACTGTTTTCACCCAAGTCCTGTCAACATGTTCACAAAGGCTCACCTGGAATACTTCCCACCCACTCGAAGACAGTTAGTCCCAGGTTCTCTCCAGGTCCACATTAGAAGGAACCTGGACTGATTTTGTACTGAGTGAAGACCAGAGAGGTATAAATCTGTGAGTTTCCGGTGGCATAGTGGAGACCAGAACCTTCCATCTAAGAGCCACACTCTGGTCCCCTGGTTTTTTAAGTGGGACTGGCCCATCTGTACCAGCTGTCCCACACTTCTGCAAACCCTGCACCCAGGTGGGCAGGAAATGAATGCCTGAACCCCTCACAGAGACCAGAAAACAGACGCACCCATGGAGACAAGGCCAGACCCTGACTCAGGCCCAATTGTAGGACACACTGTTCTCCCATGTACCTAGCCACCCAAGAAAGAAAGGAACAGACACTGCCATTAGAACTTGCGCAGCCTTGAGCTCTGAAAGAGCTAGCTTGTCCCTTTCCTCAGAGTGACAGCTGGTGCAGGGTGTGCAGGGTTTGAGTGGGACAGCTAGTACAGGTGGGCCAGTCCCACTTTAGAAACCAGGGGATCAGAGTGTGGTTCTTAGATGGAGGGTTCTGGTCTCTACCATGCCACCACAAAATCTCCTGTGACCTTGGTTCACAACAGCTTTCCTGCCCAAGAAGCCAGTAGGCACTACCGCAGGCCAGGAGTGCACACCCCTGCAGCAGGGAGCCACAGCGCCAGGGTGATTAATGGGAGGAAACCGTAGAACTCCTTCAATCTTTTCCTTCTGCCAAGAGACCTCTTCCTTAATGTCAACCACTAAAGCCACTTCAGAAAGTAACTGCCCAAAATACACACTCAGTCACCCAGCCACCGGCTCTTGTTGCCACTGCCCAGCCCTGCCTTAGTGCCACGGCAGCCCACAGCTGCCCAGGAGTGGACAACTTGTTCTGTACCCTACCTTGGCCACACAGCTCCATCAGCACTCCACCACAGGTGGCTTGTCTCCACCCCTGAAGGCTCTGCCAGAACTGAGGAACCAGCCAGTGCATTCAAGTTGGCAATGCTTATAAGCTGGCCTGGGCCTCTCCATCCTAGGCTTCTCTGGGACAAGCCCCAGAGCACAGGTCTGGGGCCACTTCCCAGGAGACCTGCAAGGGTCATGAGCTTGCCTCAGCAAAGCAGGAATGAGGAAGGCAGTCCTGAGACCCACTGTGAGGTCTCCTCAGAAGCATACAGAAAATAGGATTGCAGCAACAGATAGATGATGGTCTTAGAATGAATTATGGGATTCCTTCTTTTTAAAAACATCATTAGTGGCATCAAATATGTTCATTTTGTTTCAGGAAGCATTTAGGACAAGACGAAACACCAAACTCTGAGTATCTGCTACTGGAGTATTTACCATTCTGGGTGGCCCAGGCTGCTGGAGGCCCCACTCAATTGTGGAGGCTGCAGACTCCACAGTGGCACAGGAACCCACGGTCAATGCCGCCAAGATGAGGGCTTGTTCTCTTCCTACGGCCCTGAGGCCAGAAGCCCCCAGGGCCTACACTGGCCTCTAGGACAGACAGAACTACTGGTCATGTCAACTAATAAAGAGTCCGTGCCCCTGCTCTTGGAAGGAAAGGACCATGTTGGATGGAGAGCAGAGCCCTGGCAGACCTCCTTACCAAGGCATCTGGAGGGCAAAACTGCTAAGTCCCACCCACTGTTAGGTGACAGCAGCAGAGCTGGCCTAGGCCTGTGTGGCTTCTCTGGTAGTGAGCACTAGCCCCGTTTTGTCTGAGGCCGGGAGGAGGTACAGCCACATCCAGTGTTATCCAAGACCTCTGAGAGATGGGTGCTGAGAGGGCTTCCCAGGCCAGTGAGGCTGGGGGTCCCAGTTTTCTCAGAGACTCAGAGGTACCCAGTCTCTTAATCAAAGTTGCATGGCAAGAAACTCAGAAGTGGCCAGCAAGACCACTTGCAGAGTTTTGGTTTAAAAAAAAAAAAAAAATCCTTACTTGGCAGATTTTAAAGTTAGCAGTTCTATGTCAGCCTCCCAAACACTTTTCCACCTGGCAATCCATGAAACCTGGGAAGCACAGACCCGAGGAGCCAACCAGATGCCCTGGTGGGACCTGTCCGAGGTCCAGCCTGTTTTCCTCACAGCTCCACAGGCCCAGCAGGAACCACAGGCCCACCACTGCTCACCACTAGAGATGCTCCCTCTCCATATGCACAGGCTCTGGGCCAGGCTCCCAGCTTCCAGGCCTGGTTCCATCCCTCCCTAGCTCTGTGACTGGACAAATTACAGAGCGTCTATGCCTTTGACCCTCCACTGAACTCTGGAAATAATAGCAGACCCTCTCCCAGGGTGGTGGGGGAGCTGGAGGCCCGTGTGCACAAGGCCGTGCAGCCTGTGCTCCTGTCAGCTACTGCTGCCATCCAGGAGCTGTCAGCTTCACTCCTAAGACTTGTGTTCGTCTCTCAAGACCCAGGTCCTCTCGTCCAGGAAGCCTTCAGTGGCCCCTGGAGCTGGTACACATCCTGGCCTCATGGCTCCCAGTCCTCATGGCTGCGGCAGGGTCTGGACCCTCCTTGTCCTACGTATTTCCCCAGACAAGATGAAGACAGAGAGCACGGCGACAGACACCATCTGCCAAGTCCTCACACAGCCCTAGGGGAATCAGTGCCACTATGGCCCATGTTTTACAGATTAGGAAAGTCAGCCTTCTGGTGAGCTGCCATCCGGGCACAAGGCTGGTCATTGCTGAGCCGCATCCATCCCCAGCGGCCTGGCCAGGAGTGTGTGCCTGGCACCCCACACCCTCATAGCACAGCGCACACCCTGCCTCAGACAATCCCTGCTGCTATAACAACAAATGGCAAGGCTGGGCCCCGGGCTGCTACACTTCCTCCCAGACCATGACCCAGGCAGAGCCTGGCCTCCCGAGGGGCATGCTGGACACAGGCTGCACACACCCAGTGCCCTGGCTCAGCCTTGAGTGCTCTTCTGTCCACTGTTCCTCCACAGGTCTCAAGGCCCTGTGGTCCTCTCTTCACCTGGCACCTGGACTGTGAGGTACAAGACAAGGGACAAGGCTGGGGTGGGCCATGGTGCAGGGCTTCCCTTCCCAGGTGGCCCGGGGCCAGACTTTGCAGAGGTAGGTAGGCATGCACTGTCTCTGAGGAGAGGCCCGGCTCCTGCTTCAGTCTCTCTTCAAATAGAGAAGAGCATAGGAAGACTCATAGGAAGGGCCAGAAGCCATCAGAGGCTGCCCTTCTGGGGAGCAGGGTCTGGGGACTCTACCAGGGGAGGGCAGCCAGAGAGGGACCACCCGCAAGGCTAGGCAGAAGCAGAAGACAGGAACCAGAACCCACCGCTGGGTAGTCTTTCCCCTTTGGTGCCGGGACTGGGTCCAGGCCCTTGCACACGTTAGGCAAGTGCTGCTGTACTGTGGAAACCCAGCCCAGCTGCTGAGTGTCCTGAAGGACGGGAGGAGCTGCTACCACAGGGGAAGAACAGGGTGCAGAACACACGGTAGCAGGCAGGGCACCCTGGAGGTGCTCCACGCCGTCCCACACCGTTCACTTCTCACCCCTACATCAGTGCTCTGGCACTCATGCTGCCTGTGCCTCCTGGTGGTCACCCTCCGGCCACTCTTCAGGATACACAGGAGACTCGGGAGGCTGAGGCTCCCCCCTCTTAGGAGCTCCGTGCACTGCCTTCTTTGCCTGCTGACCAAATGTGCACTTGGGCATGGTCCCCAGGCTGGACAAAGCTTCTCTCATCCTCTCAGTCCTGCCGACACCTCCCACAGCTAAGCCACTCCTATGCCACCAATCTCAGTTCTCCTCTAGACATTGGCCTGCAAGGACACCCAGCTAGCAACCCCCAGGACCTTTCCACAGGTGGCAGCAGGGTAGAATGGCCAGAAAAAGGCAGGTGGGGACATCAACAGTCCCTCAGCCTGTCAGAAAGAGGAACCGCACTGCACACAGCTTTGCCTCCGTCCAGGTCAGACAAGCCCTTGGAATCGTGGACTCAAACTGGCTTCGCAGCCCATCCTTCCAGGGTGTCAGATGGGGTCCCTAAGACCATTTTCCCTGGCCACCACTCCTGGGCTGTATGGATGGAAAGCCTCAGTTCTGGATCGCCGTCCTCCTCTCCACACTCAAAGGACTCACCAACAGATAGGACTGTCATTAGGGCCTGGTGATGAAAGCCTAGGGTCAGATGAGGCCCCTTGTGACAGAGCTGAGACGAGCGGCATGGCCCTGCAGGAAAGAGGAGGTCAGCTCCTCAGAAACCAAGCCTAGACTCCGCCCCGGCAGTTCTGCCTCTAGGTAGTGACCTGGAGCACCGGAAACTGAAGAGATCCGCACACACCAGGCACCCCCAGGGCTGAGCAGTCCATGGTCACCCACAGGTAAACAGAGTGAGGTGCAGCCCACAGTGAAACTTCACTGGCCAGCACATGCTACGATACAAATTAAACTCAGCAGGCATAGTGGTGGCCATGCCTGTGATCCCAGCCATGGGAGGCCGAGGCAGGAGGAACACAAGGTCAAGGCCAGCTTGGGCAACCTCATAAGACCCTGTCTCAAAAAATACAAAGGGCCAGGGGTGTGGTTCCAGGGTAGGGTGGTTGCCTAGCACGTGCAAGGGCCTAGGTTCCATCCTCAGCAGCAGAAGAAGAGAAGGGACAAGGAAAAGACATCCTGTTAGGTGGGGCACATCAGCCACAGAAGGACAAGCACTGCCTGCTTCAAAAGGCCCTGGGGTGGCTGGCTTCAGAGACAGCACAGTGACTGCCATGGGCTGAGGATGGAGGGTGAGGAGTGGAGCTTGTAGGGAGGACGCTGCAGTCCACTGCACTGCACGCCTAAGATGGTTAAAGTGGCTGGGTACTGGTGGGCAGCTGTCATCCCAGCGACACAGGAGGATCATAAATTAGAGGGCAGCCTCGGCAACTTAGCTAGATCCTGTCTCAAAATAAAAAGGGCTGGGTGTGTAGCTCAGTGGCAGAACACTCCTGGGTTTGGTCTCTAGTACTGCCAAAAAAAAAGAGAAAAAGGTTAAGATGATAAATTTCATATTCTAAGCCAGGTGTGGTGGCACATGGCTATAATCCCAGAGCTCGGGAGGCTGAGCAGAGGGATCGTGAGTTCAAAGCCAACCTCTGCAACAGCGAGGTGCTAATAAGCAACTCAGTGAGACCCTTTCTTAAAGTACAAAATAGGACTGGGTATGTGGCTTAGTGGTTGAATGTCCCTAAATTCAATCCCAGTACCAATAATCATCATCATCATAATAATTATTAACAGTTTTTTTAATTTTGGGGGTTATCAGGGATTAAACCCCAAAGGCACATAACAACTGAGCCACAGCCTCGGTCCTTTTTAGTTTGAGATGGAGTCTCACTAAGTTGTTCAGGCCTTACTAAGTACAACTTACTAACTTAGTTGCTGAAGCTGACTTTGGCCTTGCAATCCTCCTGCCTCAGTCACTGGATTACAGGCATGTGTTACCCACCCTGCCTAACAGTTTCTTTTAAGAGAAACATCTTCCTGTTCCACCTTGGTGGTTTTTGGTTTTTTCTCTTTTCCTGTACTGGAGGCCAGGGGCACTCCACCACTGCACTACATCCCCAGCCCTTTTTAATTTTTGTTTTGAAACAGGATCTCACTAAGTTGCTGAGGCTGGCCTCCAACTTGAGAGCCTCCTGCCTCAGTCTCCTCAGATCACTGGGATTACATGCATGTTCCACCATGCCTGGCTCAGTGGCTCTTAAGGAAGGGTTGCTGACCAGCCTGGGAAGTTGCAGGAAATATCGCTGACTCACATGTGTGGCACGAGATGTGTTCAGCTAGGCCTCCTGGATGATCCGATGAACATTGAAGTGTGCTTGGCCCTATTAAATTTAGCCCCTTTCCCCATCCAAGATCTTCCCTCCAGCCTTTCCTTAAAGCAAGTCCTACAAACCCACTATCAAGACACTTGTGGGCTGGAGATCACCTGCTCCGAAAGCAGCCTTCTGCCCAGAGAGAAGTGGAAGGGCCCAGCTCTCAGCTCCCAAATTCAGCTTCACAGGCTTGGGACCTGCTGCCTCGGAGCTCGTGAGATCCTTTTTATAAATACTGTAGATTCCATCTGAGCCTTGGAGAGGCCAGGTCAGCGTCCAGGCTGGGCCCTGGGCTTGGTAGCCTCTGGCTGTGCTGTCAGGGAAACCACAGAGCAAGAAGAAGACCTGGACAGAAACTCCAGCTCTGCCCCATCCTTCAGCACCCACAATATTACCTCGTTTGTAAAAGAGAGAATCTGGCCTCAGGGTGGGGGCAAGGGGAGCTCATGTCAGCACTTGGACTCACGCTTGTACCTCGGGAGCAGGAAGCAGCTCCAAAATCCCAGCCCAAACCCTAACTGCACGAAAGCTCACCTGCCTTCCCCGCCCGTCCCATGGGACAGAGTCTCCATCTCCAGTCCTCCTTTTCCCCAAATACATCGGACTCCTAGAACGCGGAACAGCTCCTTCCACTCACTACCTTTCCATCTGGCCAGCTCAGGACAAGAACTGTGGCTCACCACACAGCCCCTGAAAGCTCGCAGGCTGTCACTTTTAGCAGTGTCTCTGGAGGGGCTGACACAGTAGCACTGAGCAAGAGCCAGTTGGCAGATGAGTGAGTGTACGACGCCGTGACCCACTATAGGGCAGTGCCCAGCAGGAAAGGCAAACTCAGGACATCCCACCTGTCTCCAAGGACAAACCTGAGTGTACCATACAGGCCACCAGGCCCTTCCCAGTTGCTTATCTCATTGATCCAAACCCTGCAGAGCCAGCCTGAGCCCCATTTCCCAAGACCCCTGAAAGTAGTCCACAGAGGTGGGACCTCCTCCATTAGCCTCCTCAGCAACGCTCAGGGACTTGGGATAACCAACAAAGCCGTGGCTCTTCCAGTGAAGTCTCCAACTGTCCTGAAATTCTGTGACTGTGTTCCAGAGGTGTCCCTGTGCTCCAACTCTGAACCTGTGGAACCCACCAGCTACCTGGAGACCCTCAGTGCCCAGTGGACCTGACCCACGGGGTCATGTCTGTTGGCCAGTTCTTCCCCACTGTTGCCAAGGTCTCATCCCACATTACCCCCCCCCCACTGTCCAACACATGGGTACACCTGTGCCAGACCATGACCATGACTATCCCCAAACCCTCCTTGGTCAATGGCTGACATTCCTCAGATATACCTCGTTCCCCTCAGCCGCCCCCCTTCCCCCACCTCAGCTGCCAGACTTCAGCAACACCTCAACCCTGCCTTCTTTGCTCACCCCATCTAGAGCCCCACACTGAACACACAGCCCGGGGCCATCTCCCCACTTGCCATCTGAAACCAGAGCTACACAGGCCTCATCTTTTCTTCGCTCTCCCTGATGCCCACAATGCCTCTTTCCACATCCAGCCCCAGCCCCTGGACCTGCTCCTGCCCTCACCCAGTCACCTCCCCGCCTCTAATCTCTCCCTGAAGCAGGCCCCAGTCTGGCTGCAGGATAGCCCTTCCAGCCTGTCCACACCTCCAGCCCTATCAATAGCTCTGGGCCTCCGACCCACATTACTTAATGCTCTTACACCATAGGAAGGCCCTGGCTGCAGTCAGTAGGCCTGAGCTCAAACCTGGCTCTGTTGCACGCAAAGCTGTGGACTCCTGGACAAGCAGCTCAGTCTCACAGTTGCTGTTCTTCAACTGTAAATTAGGAATAAGAACTGTTCAGATCACATGAGCTACGTACAGGAAGAGCCCGTACAGAACTGGCATGGCCTGCTGTACCGAGTGGAGCACAGGACTTTTGGGCATGGATCAGCATAAACACTTGAAAGAGAACCACACGTACAAACTGTGAAAGAGCCTCAGGTGAAGAAAAATGAAGCCTACGGAGGGAAACTACCAGCCCAAGACGACACAGCTGGAGAAAAATGGCACTTCCTACTCAGTGTTGGAACTAGTGCAGCACCTGTGGCCTGTTAGAAAGGCAGCACTTCAGGCCTGCCAGAGCCCAGGAGGTGACAAGGCCAAGCCTACACTAAGAGCAGCAAGTCCCAAGGCCCTTCCTCCTGGGCTAATAAGAATGCAGTCTACTCCAGCCAAAATCTGCATTCTAACAAGCTTCCCAGTGCATTAGTTTGAAAAGGAGTGTTAGAAAAGAAGCCTCCCTACTTCCAGCCCAGCCTCTTCCCAGACACCATGAATGTTTTAGTTTCGGGGTGCTACTTCATTTCCCATAGTGCTGCAGAGAAGGCCCCAGCTGTCGTGAGCATCCCAAACCTGTGGCTGTTGAGAAGATTTCAAGAGCTGCATACAAAGTGCTCCACTGGAAGCAGGGCACTCTGCAGCTCTCAGTGCCCCCAGATATACTGTGGCAATAAGTGCTGGAAGAATGACGGCCAGGATGGGTCTCTCTGAGGCACTCATTTAAGCAGAACTCAGTCTCGAGCCATCGCTGGAGGTAGCACACTCCGTGCAGAAAAAAGGAAGAAGAATCAGGGTAACCAGTGGGGCTCCAGTGGTCCAGAGACACTGGATGGCCTAGTGGACAGTGAGGTAAATCCCAGTAGACCTGGAAGCCACCAGGGCCCATGAGACGTGACTTGTGCTTAAGATATCACTGACTGTGTGTGTGAGATGAGGTGAGAACTAAGCAGGGAGAGAAGCAGAGGGGTGAAGGTCAGCTTGCACTAGGGTCCCAAGTGGGGTTAGGTTCTGCACATATTTTGAAAAGGGGGCTGCTGATGAACTAGGCATGGAAGAAGGCATTCACGACGGGTGTCAGCTGCAACCTGAGTGATGAGCATGGTGCTGAGTCCAGGTCACTGTGTAGGTCAGCAGGGAACCAGAAGGCAGAAGCCTAGAGCAAATGAACACACTACTATAAGCTCCCTGAAGGCAAGGTTGAGGGCTTCTCCCCTTCAGGATCCTTCACCAGTGTCTGCTCTGCACAAAGCTGATGCTCAATGTGCAACCACAAACAGCACGTGAGGACAAAGTAAGGCAGAGGTGTCTGGAGGGTGGTGATCAGGTAGTAATTTGTGGAGCAACTTCTTTCCTAATGAATTATAAGAACAGATTCCAGGGCTGCAGAATGGTCTTGAGGAAAGCAAGAGGAGATGAAAGCAGCAGGTGGGAGGCAGGAGAGCAGCACTGTTGGGGAAGAGCCATTAAGGGTCCAGTGTCGCTTTCCTACTTTTCAGAAAGCCTGAAGGTGGCTGCACATCCTTGGTGGTTTTGGTGACAATGCAGCCAGAGATTTTTATTCTTCTTTTCTGGTATGGATAAGCAGTGGGCAGAGAGCTCCTCTGAAACCTAAAGAAACGCTCCGCTCTCCCCAAGAGAGCCTAGGACACGACGGACAGTGTAAGGAGTCCAGCCCAGCTCTCACCTTCTCTCTCAGACGCGTCTTTACGGAAACCTTCTGACAGAGCAGGGCAGACCTTGGGGCCCGTGCCTACCAGTGCAGGCGCCTTTGTTCATCATTACTGGCCATTCATTGCACAGTGTCCTGGGTGTCGCGGGGCCGCAGCGCCTGGGCATGGCCGACCCTCAGGGCGCCCGCGGACACCCCCAGCGCGCATACAGGACGGGACAGGC